AAAAAAAAAAAAAAAAAAAAAAAAAAAAAAAAAAAAAACAACAACGGCTATTTATGCGCATCCATTGCACATATTTTTGTACATGTGTACGAATCAAATGTAAAGGTCTGCAGTTGTCAAAAACAAAAATTCAAGCGTAGATTAAGGAAAGAGATTTAAAACAGAGTTATGGTAAACACACAGAACTGTTGTTTTGCTGTGTCACAAATTTCACCAAATGTGGTTAAACCGGGTGACCATATTGGCGTTTTTAGCCGTCTGGGCGCGAAGCGTACACTTTTAGCATGCGTGGAAAAAAATGTGCTAGAATAATTTCGCAGCATTTGGGAACGGTTTTGCAAAACTTGTATAATTACCTCACATTTGTGTGTTTTGTATAATTTTCTCAATTTTGTTCACGCTGATTGCGTTTGGCCTGTTTGTGAAGCTTTTTCCCGATGTGTTCGCTCTTGACCCGCGAAAGACCGCTGCGTCAAAAATATTTCTTCACTAATTTGTGTTGCCCAGACTGTGCGCCCTTGTACCCCCTTTTTCGCAAAAATTAACTGAACTTACAACGTTTCAGCACAGCAGTTCAAAACTTTTAGTGGGGGGGAACGTTTTTCTACGCACAGTAGAAAAGAGAAAAAAGCGAAACGAGCAAAGCAACAAAAACTGCACTTGTGTTTGATTTTTCCTGCCAATAATTATAGCTTCAAAATGGTGGGAAAATAACATATGTCACGAGTTAGCAACGTACATATATATATATATATATATTCCTACCTTATGAGAATTAAAAAACTCCCTACGTTACCGCTAAACGAAGCTGTGTTTTACTTTTGTGGTTTATGCTTAAGAGAGGCCCAAGGAGGAATTAAATTGTTCTTCAAATTGCCGTACCCAAGCAACAACTTTGTGAGCACACATAAACCTACATGAACACAAAACACACAAAGAAGGGGGGGAAAAAAAATAATAAAAACCAATTATAATGAGCTACTCGCTGAACTTAGGTACCTCCAGGAAGACTCAAGATGTTTCCGGCACAAGCGACATGTAAGAAAAAAAAAAAAAAAAAAAAATCAGAAAAAAAAAACAATAAGTACAACTACAACGTTTAAGTGTTATGTAGTACCAAATGGGGGAGGGTGTTCATCCTGTGCAGCTACTTGTTGTGCAAGTATCGTGTGTGTGGATATTAAAGTGCCTTTATAAGTACACATCAACGCGCTATGTAGATGTTGCCACAAAATGGTCTTAGATACGTGTTGGAGGAAGTGTAACCAGGTTGCTCTTTGTGAACGTTATGCGATTGGACGACAAAACGACATTTAAGTGCATGTAAGTGTATTCACAACTTATGTAGTCTTGTCTTGATGAAGAGACAGGAACCTGGCTCTCTCACATGTATTATTAAAAGGGGCGCTTTGGACAAGGTTCACATGTACCATGCGGTGCGCTCATTACGTACTACGTAGGAAGTATTGCGAAAAAAAAAAAAAAAAAAATGAGTATCACAGGGGAAGAAGGGACAACTATTTTAATTGTGCCACGCAGGTGTAATGAGCGTGCCCTTGGTATAAGGCACTTCCAGTGCATTGTTTACTACTAAGTATCGCTTGGTAGAACTTCACACGAGGAAGAGACAAAATGAAGGAATAAAATAATATTATTAAAATAAAGTAAAAAAAAAAAAAAAAACAAAGAATAAAAATGAAAAGCTACCGTTTTTGCTTGTCATAATACCCGTCCGCAACTGAACCCCACACTTTGCGTTTAAGTATTACCTTTTACGCAAATTGTGGAGTCTTATTACTTCCTACATGAGCAACATGATACGGGCATCAGAGAGTGTTTACGTTTTTATTCTTTTTTTGCTTTTGACGTCTACTGTGAGGGAGTATTTTTTTTTTTGTATGACTTTTACTTGAGATAGTTTTTCGAAGGGGTCCACAATTACGCCTGCTTTTTTCCCCATAAAGAAATGGCGTAGATTATCGCAAGCATTATTTTAATGACACATCCCCCCCTTATTTTATACATATGTGTGTACGCTCGTATGTTTACATTTGCGCAAGTGGATTATCTACCCTCACCCCCACACACTTGTGCTGACTGGCTATTGAACAATTCATGATATGAGTCAGCCGTCTGTCCGTGCGCACAGGGACGGTTAACATACACCACACGTACATCTACCCACATACGTGAACATGTTTTTTTTCAGAACGGAGAATGTGTACGAAAAGGAAATTAAGGAAATGAACGAGATGAACGGGCTGGACAGCTCGAACGCCATTGCCCAGATGGAGGATGATGGAGAGAACGAACCGGAAAGGGAGAGCGAAGAAGTGAAGGAGCCCTCCTCCAGTGACCATAAGGAAAAAAAACTCCCGAAGAAAAACAATTTTATGCAAATTTTTAAGAAGAAGAAAAAATCACAAGAAATGGAAGACACGGTTTCGAAAATTTACGACTCGAATTGTGTGCTTACCAATCCTGAAAATGTAGACGAAGATAAATATTACCTCTCCTTCAGTGAGCTAAACAGATGCGATGATACGTCCGATAAAATCGTGGAGGAACGCAGCCCAAGGAATGACAAGCATGTGGAAAAATCACACACGGGCGAATCAAAGAAAAAGAATAAAAAAGCAGACAAGAAAATGTCAAGAGAGAGTAAAAAAAAAATGAAAGTAAAAAAAAAAAAAAAAAAAATCTCTTCCATTGAGGAGATTAAAAATGACAAGGAGAACAAACTTGAAGGAAAGCAGAAAAGTGGAGAAAAATCGAATAAGGAGAAGGACGATGACAAAAATTACAATTTTGAACCACATGAAGATTTAAAAAGAGAAATCGAAAAAATAAAAATAGATATAGACAAAATTAAGAAAAAGGGAAATGTAAAAAGAATATATGATGATTTGAAATATATACTCCTTTTCCAGAATGAAATAATTGACATACTTATAGAAGACATCCGGAAGAATAAATTAAGAACAAAGTACGATATGCTAGAAGACAGCACCGTGAAGGATGATATAAATAAAATAATTTTAAATCACATAACATTAGATCTTTTAAAATTTAAATATATCAACACAAAATTGAAGGAGCTAATTCTATGCGTATATGACACGAAGAAATTTAATTCCTTGATAAGAAAAATTGTATACAACAAATTAGATGAAATGAAAAAAGTTGTGGATACAAATGGCGAGCTCACATTTGCAAAAACTATGTTGAGCTTTCTATACAAGCAGCTTAAGTACTGCCTAGAGGAAGAGGTACAGTCCTACTATGACGAAGTAAAAAATGTGAACGATGATATCCACAACTTGAAAAAAAATATTGTTCATATAATTTTTGATGCTATAAATGACGTGTGCACATTGCCACATCCAAGTGAGATATATCCCACGAATGAAAAAAATGCCAAATATGAAACGGAGCTGAGGAAGAAGGGGATCATGTGTCCAGAATATCAGAAGGATTTGAATAGCTTTTTCTCCTTATACGATTGTGTGCATGTCGAGGGGGGAAGCACCCATGAGAAGGGAGTAAACCAAAACAAGTTTAAAAATTTCTGCGTTTTAAGCAGCGCAAGGAAGGATAACCATATGGCTCCACCCCAAATGATGAATAAGAATGTAACATTTGGTGATCATACTGGTGGGGGTGTGGACAAGACCTACTTGATAAATTCAGAACAGCAGCTAAATTATCCACCGTCTACCACCATTTTGAATCATTCCTATGTGGTTGGAGATGTGCCCGGGAGGAACTACTCCAATTTTAGAACCCACAAAGTCGTTTCACACACCGCTCCCCTAGATGTGTGTTATTCAACGAAGACAACTCAACAGCCGTATTCTTATGTGCCCAATTTGAAGGCAACAAAGGGGGGGATTTACTCGGACGACGTGAACAATTATAATGGTGAGGCCACTTCTGCAGGGGTTAGAAATGAATATCACGCAAATGGGCATCGTTATAATATTTATGTAAAGCGTGATGGTCGCATGATGCAAAACAGCAGTAATAATCTAATGAGGGACGTTGCTCAGGAATGCCCCCTATTCTGTAATGGACTAGATACAGTGAGAAGCTTCGGTAACTTTACGGAGCAAGCGAATGATAACCCGGTAGTGGGGAACAACTCCTATGCGCAGTATCGAATTGGGCGTAATGATTTTCGTAGGGGAGATGTATTCCTTGTGGAGAAGATGGACTGCAACTCTCATATTACGCAACCCGTGGGGTGGAACAGTCAAGCTGGTGGGTTCACAGCACCTTATCGTATGGACGTGCAAAATGGTGAGCTGATTGAAAGGGGGCATATTGACCCTGTGCGGAGTGTTTACCTGGACAGTGGGCATGACATGAAAAACCCTATATCTACCCCTTCCAACGGAGTAACTGCCTCTACCGCCATTCATTTTACAGACCGCAATGGTGTGGCAGATCGGGGGGGAAACAGAATGGAGTACAGCGGATTCGAAATAGTATCCAGCAAGGAAAACCTACAGAAGCTGGAGGCCTTTTTAAACGACAAGTGGGGAAGTTTTAAGTTGTTTGAAAAGTGGATCAAAGACTGTTCCAAATGGCAGTGGATAGATTTGAAGCTTCAGAGGGAATACATAAGTAGCAATGTGGACTTAGAGAAGCTGAAGGAGGAGAAAAAAAAATACATGGAAAAATGTATAAACAAGAAAATAAAAGAATTGTGGTGTGGACGCATGAAAGGCCTAATGAATTTAAAGCTATGCGACATGGAAAAAAAACTTGCAAAAAATTGTACATCAAATAATATCATTAGTAAAAGTATTTATGATGTGATATTGGATTACGAGAGGAGCTCTATGTGTTACCAAGATTTGTATTCAAGGATATTAAGTGCACAAGGGGAAAACAAAAAAATTAGTTCATTATTCAAAAAGTACAATGTATATGGAGAAAAGATTAGTGATGATGAAGAGGCCAACTTGACACAAGGGGAGGAGAAAAAAAACTCCATTACGAACACGGAGGGTACTAAACATGCAAATAAAAAAAAGGGGTATATGCAGTCCTTGATTTACAGCTTTAATAAGAAAACGAACAAACAGAATAATGCTAAAGACGGCACTAATCTGAAGACGGAGAATGAGGAGTCTACTCAGAAGAAGAGGGGCTCCACGTCGGTGAAGGAACCGACTAATTTGAAGGAGCAAATGATTGTGGAATATGGAGACAACGCAAACAAGGGGGACGCCTGTGTGAAGATGGACACGCATACCAATGTGAACAACGACAAAGATAGCGTCAAGGAAGAGGTCCCTAATACCCACCCCGATAGGGTAAACAACTCCTACATTTATAACGATTCGTACTTGCATACTGATTCACCAGTTAGGACCGGCTCCCACGTAGTATGCGAATCGCGTAGTGGAAAAAGCCCCTCTGAGAAAAAGAGCGAGTCCCACCGTAGCAGCAGTTCCAGCTCCTCCGGTGTACGCATAGGACGGTCAAGCATAAACAAAAAAGAAAACAACGGCTCCTTCTTCGACAGCTTCTTTTTCTTCAAAAGTGATATAAAGAAAAAGAGCTCCGGAAGCAAGTCGGGTAGCTCCGAATCAGCGGCCAAATCCAAATCCAAGTCGAACAGCTCACAGAATGAAGATGAATACCCCATGGAGTTTTCCAAAATTGTGGATTCAAGTAACGATAACAAAAAGAAAAAGAAAAAAAAAAACAAAAAGAGTAACATGAGTACTTTTAAAAAGATTTTTTATCTGAACAGGAAAAAAAAAAGCAAGGAGGAGTCCTCCGACAGTGATGAATCTTCGTCGGACTCGTCCGCAAAGGGGGACAAAAAGGAGAAACGCGCAAAGGGTAAGGAAGACACCACCACAGGGGAGGGCAAAAAGAATACGAACAAGTCAACACAGGAAAAGGGAAACCTAGATCAAAGTGACATTGCTTCGGATCGACAGTCCTCCTCTGATGAGGAAGAATACAAATTTGACGGAGCATTCGAATACAGAATTTTAGAAAAGGAAGTGGGGGACCATCTACACTTGGAAGAAGGTGAGGAAAACATCTTGTCAATTGATGAACTAGACATGGAACACAGTTGCGAACTGCTGGCCAAGTCGGATATTAGCTGTGATATGGGCAAGAGGAAAAGACTGAAGATGGTGAAGGATGGAGGGAAGGAAGAATCCAAGCAGGAAAAGCAAAAAGATAACCAAGCACGGAAGCAACAAAGGAAAGGAGCAGGTGCGCACGAAGGAAAAAACGAACCCACTAAAAATGGCAAAGCTAAGGGAGCAGAACACGCATTGGTGAGCCAGATTAACGATCACATGGAAAAAGGCACACCTGGCATGTCAAACACTAAAGCAAGTGAGTTAAATAGGGTGTACTCATTTGTGGAAGACTACGCGATGAGTGTAGGAAAAAATTCGAAGCAAACGTCCAATGTGGTAAATAAGAAGGCAAGTTCGTTTGTGGACGATGGGTCAGTTGCACTGGGGGATCACAAAAGGGAGAGTAGCAGTTACGGTGCAGGTAGTGTAAACGCGCAGGATGTAGCACACGAGATCGGAGTGGGTGACCAAACGGAGGGAGGAGAAAAGATACGGAAAAATCACGAACACGAGGGGGAACCCAGAAATGGACACAAAAAAAAAAACTCCATTACCCAATCAGACATTTCGTACTACTCACATGATGAGGAAGAAGAGGAGGTAGAGGAAGGGGACAAGGAATACGACAAGTTCTCGAGCCTAGGTTCCATGAAAAAAGGAAATAAAAAAAATAAATTTAATAAATTCTTTAAGAACTTGGGAAAGTTTAGCTTTAAGCCATCGAAAAAGAAGTCCAAAGAAATATCCACGCATATGGGCGAAATGATTCTGAAGAGTGCACCTAGTGTCGCTTCCAACGAAAATAATGATGAGCATATTGATGAAGAAATATTAGGCAAGGATGACGAAGAGGTGGGGTCCAAAGGGGTGAGTGCATATGGGAAAATGTTTATGTCGAAGAGCTTCATGCTAAGTAGTGACCTCAATAATAAAATAGGGGAGGGCCTCGCCAAACGCAAAATGAGTAATCAGGTGGATAAGTTATATTCCTATATAAACAAACTGAAGGAGAAGAAAAAGAGCTCCACCGAAATGGAGGTAAACAAGAATGATGAGACTACGAACGGTGCAGCGAAGCAGGAGCAACAGCAGCAGATGCAGAAGCAAACGCAGAAGCAGACGCAGAAGCAAACGCAGAAGCAGACGCAGAAGCAGAAGGACGGAGAGATAAAGTCAAGTGGGAAGACAATTCTCCCCATGCGTATTATCAGTCGCATCGAAACTGCAAACAGTATAAGTGCATCCAATGAAAACATCACGAAGGAGGTAAAAAAAAACGAGTCACAAGTAAACCCTTTGACGAATACACCGTATAGCAGTGGTAACAGTAAAAAGGGGGATAATTATCTGGGCGAAAGTCTTCCGGATAAGAGCAGCCCTAGGGACGAGAAGAATTCGCCGCGCTTTGGTTACAGCATGTCTAATCAGGAGATCTCAGGAGGAAGCGGAAATTCGGGCGATAGCGCCTCATCTGAGAATATCACATATGAGGAGCGGTTTTCAGGGAAAGGGAGTAAAGAAGCAACAGGGGAAAAGAAAAACCCAAGTGGAAAAATTGACGGGGGGAGAAAGGTTGCGGGTGTAAAGAACAAAGAAAGGAAAAAAGACAAGGGGGCGAAGCTGGATTCGAGGAATGCGCGGCGTGGAGTGAAATCGCCTAGCTTGTCGTTTTCCTCAGACAACCTAAGCAATTACGTGAAGAGTGTGTACCACTTTCATGAGAACGAAGAAATCGATGGAGAGGTGATGAGCTCCGTAAGTGGCATGGACAGGAAGTTGGGCGACAGCATGTACAGTAGCTTATACCTTGATGAACGGGACCACAAATTAAAGAAAAACAGTTCGAGGAAATTTTTAAACAAAAAGAAAAGCTCAGGAAGTTCAAGAAATGCAAGGTGTTCTAAAAAAGGGAGTCGAAAGAGGGACGCAAGTTCCTCAAACTCGTTGGACATTGTTAGGTTATCAAGTTTTAAGTCAAAGTCAGATGTGAAGCTCTCGTGTAGTAACAGCAAGGGCGCTTATTCCTCGTTGTCCGATGCGAAGGACTCTCACATTTCGCGGGGGTACATGTCCGACACCAGGAAGGAGAATAATTCGTACTACAAATATGTCCAATCGATGTTACCCTTTGGTATGATGGCTCATCGGGAAAATGCTAGTGAGGATGGTAATTCAGAAGCTGGAAGAAAGCAACGTCCATCGAAGAGGAATGGCTAAATATATGTTGGGGAGTAGCGCCTGGGATACCTTCCACACGATCGGTCCGACAGGCGGAGAAACCGACAGGGCAGCAGTTTCTCCATCGGTTCCATGCCTTCGACTGGCTTCCCACGGATGGATGCCCTAGGATGAGGAAAGTTGTCCAGGTGGATGCATACACTTTACACAGAGCTTACACGCGCCTCTTGGCGTAACCCTGTTTTGTTCTCAAGAGCTTTTTTCATTTTTTTTGTAAATAATATGTGGATGTTTCACAGTGTACCCATTTAGTGGAAATTAGCGCACAGTCTTCTTTAGACTGGTAGTAATATGTTACCCTTGTTCGACACTAAGCTGTGTGTGCTTATGGAGAAGCGTTATTGTTTTTGTTTTTGTTTTTTTTTCCGAACTGTCTTAAACATTTTCGCAGCTTTGTGGGCATGCAAATTGTCTGTCTACATTTGCACCCAATTATTTTCCATCCTGTAGCATAAAAGGGTTCATAACATACAATATGTACTAGCAGTGCATACTACTGCATGCACATACTGGAGCACATTTGAATGGGGAATCTGTTGTTCGATGTTTGCACCTGAATTGTTCACAACTACACGAGGGCACTCGCTTCATTGTGTGCCTCTGATGTGGTACGTTTTGTACAGAATCGCATATATTTTTTTTTTTTTAAATCCATTTGATGCCACCACTTTGCCGTTATTGTTCATAAAAGGGCAAATAGTTGGGAGCACATTGATTGCAACACAAGAGTGTGTAAAAAAAAAGTTGTTTAGTGTGATTAAGGGAGAACAATAAATGCTAGGTGAGCATGCTCTGTTTGTTCTTCCTAAATCATTAAGTCAGCAAAGTGATTTTTGGAGGAACCACTTTGCAACTGGTTGAGGCGAAAAAGGTGCAGACATTACGCACGTACATTCTGGGTGCGCAGTGTCCGCGAACCTCGTCTCTTTTAATCCCACGCAAAAAGGTGAAGAAAATGATACACAAGCGAAACCTCTATACTGGCGCTTGCGCAGGTGCCCCAAGGTGAGAAGCCCAACTAGTTTTCAAACTTGGAGGTGTCGTAATAGCTTTTATGTTGCTTGAAAAATTGCTCAAAGTTTTCTCTTTGCTCTTTTAAATTCCAGTCTTCCTCATGGTACACATTTTCAAAGAGGCCACCTACAATGTTGTATCTTTTAATGCTTTCATGTTTTTTCAATTCCTTGAGGACTTTTTCTTTGACGGCTTTTCTGTGCAATTGGTCATCCTCATCTGTGTACAATTTTTTATTCTTTAAGTAAAGGAATAGTCTGCTTATTGGATGAACCCCATCCTTTTTCCAAGCATCATTTTCTTCCTTTGGTCTGTATAGGGTAGAATCATCCGAGGTACTATGGTGGCCATATCTGTAGGCCATAAATTCCATAAAGACCGGTTTAGACTGTTCAGTGCAAATTTCCCTCATTTTTTTTGCAGCTAAATAGGTAGCGAATAAATCATTTCCATCAACCCTAACGGATTCTATACCTAAAGCTAATGCCCTAGGAGCAATACCATCCCCTCTGTACTGATCTTTTATAGAAGTAGATATAGCATAGAGATTATTTTTGCAAATAAACATGGTTTGCGATTCTCTTACGGCTGCAAAATTTAGAGCGGCATAAAAATCTCCTTCCGAGGAAGAACCATCTCCACAAAATGTAGCAGCAACAGCTTTTTGATTTTTCAATTTCAATGCATAACCACAACCGGCAGCATGAGATAATTGAGATGCTAAAGGAGTTGTAATGGTGTGTATGTTTAATTTCTTACTAGTGTAGCAAATACACATTTGTCTTCCTTTCCCCTCATCAAATTTATTCCCAAACAGTTGATTAACAATATCAGAATAATCAAATCCCCTGGACAGTAAAATTCCTGTTTCTCTATATTGACAATATAGGTGGTCATCTGGAGTCAGAACTTTACCTAACCCAAATTGGATCCCTTCTTCTCCATCATTTACAATATAAAACGAAATTCTTCCTTGTCTTTGAATGCCATAAAAAATTTCATCCCATATTGAAAACTCAACCATCTGTTTGTATAGGTTGACTATTTCTTCATCTTCAAAAGGGGCACTATGACCGTCTAACAAATTTCCTTCCGTATCTAGTACACGGAATATTGAAAGTTTGTTCACTTCATTTGTCGTTTTTAATTCTGTTGAGAATTCTGAATGTATAAGCCCGTCCGTGTATATTTTATATGCAGATAGATTTTTCTTCTGAGTTAGGGTGCAAATGTTCCTCTTGGTGCAATAACTGGGGAAAAAGTTTTTCCTGCAGAGGTACCTTTGAACCACATTCCTCATTTTGGCTAGCCGTCGAATGATACGTGTGTATATATCCACCCACGTGTGTGCAACTGCAGTTTTGGCTTCCTATCAATATTTTCACGTATCGTTTTGTATTTACCTTCCCGTTTGCGCGTTCCAACTTGTGTTTTTTTTTTTTCCTTTTTTTTTGCGGGGAAGTGGTGTGGGGGTTGGATTATCCACCAAGTTTTGTGTACACAAAATAGTACATTAATTCACAACACGTTTTTTAGGGTGTGCTGTATAGAGGAAACACAAAAAGGAATTGGTTATTTTGTTTATTTTGTTTTTTTTCGTAGTAACACGACATGTTGGGGAAGGGGTGGTGGCATAATGTACCGCCAGGAGGAAGCATAATCACAATTAAGTGTTAATTATCTTATCGTGACTTAGTTGATACATACGATGAACTTGGACAAAAAAAAAAAAAAAAGGGAAAGAAAAAAGAGAATACCTCAAGAAGCCATGAAAAAAGCTGCTTCCATATCATCGATTTAAGCACTCACATTAACATTTGTTAAATGCTTATTTTTCTTTGTTCCCCTAGCTGTGCAAATTTTTTTTTATATGCATACATAACACGATAATGTTGGCACCATTTTTTAAATCCCGAATCTCTAATCTCTTTGTATTTCCACAGTAAAGCACCTCCCCAAGAATTGTCACCTTTATGCACTTTTCCCATTGTTCAAATGACAGTAAAAAAAAAAAAATTCCCGATGATTTTTGTCGGCAGGAATATGCGTCACACTTCCTGTGGTGTACTCAAATGGGAACGAACGGAGTTTGTTTCTTCAGGACCACGGTGTATTTCACGAAGTGTAACAAAAATGCTGGTAGTTTTCCCAGTTTGGTCAATTGGTCCGGTTGGACCATTTTGTCAATTTTGCCAGTGTTTCCATTTCCAACTTTTTATACTTTGCGAACGGCCCCATTTAAAGTATCCTTTTGGCGCACCTCCCTTTTTACACATTTTACAAAAGTTTCTCATTATTTGCGCTGAATAGGATTTTTGCCCTAACGCAGCTAATTCCCTCGCGCTTTACGAACAACATGAAGAATAAAAAGAAAAATTGAAAAAAAAAAAAAAAAAATTGAAAAAAAAAAAAAAAACATTAAAGTACTAGCCATTCGCAAAAAGGCAACAATAGTTAAATTAGAAATTTATTTGTAGCCCTATCGACAGGGGGAACTGAATTTTTACCACACCACACAGGATTATGTGAAATTACTTTGTGTACATGCCATTTCTTTTGTTAAAATGAAAACATATGCTTAGCTTCCCATATCAAACTGTGCTACAATATGTTGTGTACTGTTTTGAATAAACCTATGAAGCTACCATCCTTTCGCTTTTAACCATTTTACATTTACCATATGGAAAAAATGAACAGACAAGCTGAAAACGTGCAGACATCAGAGTGAAAAATGTATCCTCTGCTAGGCACTAACTGCGAGGAATAATAAAACGGCTAAAAGGAAAATGCGCTTCCACCGGGGTACACACAACACCCCCGTATTGTTCACAGAATAAGTGTAATACACATAAGTACCTCTGACATTTCCTGTGCGACAAAAGCAGAGTGCCGATAATTTCGACTGACTGCTAAAAGAACTACACACACACGAGCTAGGCGCACTATGCTCAGTCAGGTATCGGTAGGTTTACACCTCTACCACATGCGTATAGTTAAAAAGTCTTTAACGTTTTTCTGAATGTGTCGCATGTCTAGTTATACGTAATCAATAGCGGATTGTCACCTTTACACATTTGGTGATTCCCTTTAGACGGTTCCCACGCAAAAAAATTACTACAATAAAAACACGGAAAAAAATAACCTTTTTTTTTTTTTTTTTTTTTTGGTATGTTGCGTGGGAGTACTACATACTGATTCCTTTTCGAAGGGGTACATTTCTACAGGAATAATACTCCCTGTTTTGAATTTATGGAAAAAGTGGCCTCTAAAACTAAGCTGCATTTTCCCTCCGCCTATTTTTGCAACTTTTTTGGAGGGATGTCAGTTTATATATGTAAGATTGTTTTTGTTCGGATTAGCTGGCTACTTTTAAAATTTATGTTCCCGTTTTTTATTTTTTTTATCTGCTGCCATTTTAGCTTCTCACAACAGGACATAAAAAAGAATCTACATGCGCATGCAGATAATGAAAACAAAAAGGACAAAAATGAAAAAGCTGCATTCATTTATTTCTGAAAATGAAGGCTTTGATTTAAAAAAATGAAGAAAAAAAAAAGAAAGTGAAATTTAAAAGACGAACAGATTTGTGCATGTGAAATGGACATCTGCGCATTTGCATGTGTATATAAAGGACGTGAAGGCATGAAAATAGGATGTACAATTATGACGCACACATACGTAAGTGTATACCAGTACAATTATACAATTACATACATTTATAAACACCTGTTCGTGTAACAATTTGTTAGACCCACAAATAAATTGCAAAAAACAACATCAATTCCAGTTAAATTGCAACTGCGGAAGTTAATTCACAAAAATTAAATATTGCTGACGACTGTCCACGTGGAAACACCATGAGCCCGCTTTGTAGCAAAGGCGTAGACACGTTCGTGTACGTAAATACATATGTATATTTACACATATGTATATTCACTCGTGTGTACGCAGTTGTGACGTCGATTTGGTCGTGCGCAGGTGCAATTTTCATTTTGAAAACCCATTAGCCATGGCCTCCCTTCACAAAACAAAGACACTTCATCTCACTTTGTTCTCTTTCAAACTTTATAGGCATGATAATTATACATTATTACAATTCTTAATTGGCCCCTGCGAAATTGGCATATTTTAAAAAAAGTTGATGACTCATCAAACTACGAAGATTTTTTTCAAAATAGCTCATATATTTTTTTTGCCAAATTTTATTTTGCCCTGATAAGAATAGATTCTTACCTTTATTTAAGTAAAACATTCATCGAGTGAGCAGCAAAAGAAGAAAACAAAAAAAAAAAAAAAAAAAGAGATATATGTATACACATATGCATCTAACCGCGTAAAAATCACTACGTTGTGCAATTGCAGATTGTCCAACAACGTCTCACGTATTAACATTACACGAACATACACGCAACGCCAAGGCACACTTACTTTTTTATGTGTACTTTCTCCCCTTTCAGAAAATGTTCGCAACAGTGATATCCCCCATGGTGACGGTGCATCCTGCGCCAGTTGTTTACACAACTACGTACAATGTCGTGCCACAAACAGTTGTGTACACGATTCCACAGACCATACCGATTATTAAAAATGTTCAGGTTATCCCTTCCCAACAAGTATGTCTTAGCTACGCGTACGCCGCGCCCGTTACGACTGTTATCCTTTAAAATTCGATGTGGACATATGATAGATGTTGGGAATGATGAAGTCAAATTTAATGAAGAGTAATAGGAGTATGCACTTGTCGGTGAATGTTGTCTTCATGTGCGTCCACAAAAGGGTGTTACTCAGGTATGAACATTTCATTAGTGCTAGGAAGGGATATTAACCAGTTCGAAATAGTATCAAGGTGCAGGGAAAGAATATTCAGGAAACATTCTATGGAAAACCAATTAAATATTTTTCGAGATGTCTATTATTGGAGAGGAAAAGCAATTTGAGGCGGGACCATAAAAAAGTGCTTATATTTTTTCCTTTACTATTATATTTACATATACAAGAAAAGCTTAATTATCGAATTTTCCTTATCGTGCTTTTGTAAATGGATTTGCGTCCATTACTTGTTTGAAAAACATATTGTATATACATGCCTCCTTAGTTTGCATTCCTTTCACTTGTTACATTTTTGCTCTTTACACTTATGAGCACTTGTGTGTTTTTTTTTTTTACATGTAAACATGCTTATATATATCCAAGGAGTTTTGTGGAATTTTTTTACTCTGCCCATTTTAAGAATCAACTAACATGTTAGATTATAACACATTTAATTCCGAATGTAAGCTTTTTTCTGTGTGGCCTTAAACAAAACACATGTGTGCAGTTGTTAAGATTAACTTGTTCTGCGCTGGTCAATTTTGCTAGAATATCAAGAGTTATGGCTCAAGTGGTTATAAAATATGTAGCTTAAAATTTCTTGGTAATAACCTTTCCGAGTTCAGCAGTACGCGGTGGCATGAACAAGCAGGACAAGAAAAAAAAAAAAAAAAAACAGAATAACAAAATTACCTTGCTCGTTCATAATTTTTTTTTCTTTTTCTGCAATTTTCCGTATTAACAGCTATAATTGCCAAAAAAGAAAAACATTTCGCTGTATGTTACTAGCCAATTTTTGTTACTGTCTGAAAAAAAAAAAAAAAAATTACGTATCTAATTGCACCAAGGAAAGCAAAGAAATACGGGGAATCATATAACAAGTACAGCTGTCAAAAGTATATGTTACTTTTGGAGCACAATTACACCGTTGTTCAACAGAGCTGCTAGAACGAGATAAAACGAATAGCCTTTTGCTCACGAAAAAAGTTATAAAGCTGTCTTTTTTTTTTTTTTTTTTTTTTTTCTGTTCTTCCTCACAATTTTAAAAAATAGCTAGCTAACAAATTAAATAATTCATGAAAAAATGTAGACAGTTTTTAACTTCACTTTTGTTCCATTTTGTTTTTCTTATTTTTTTCCCTTTATTTACATTTAATTTTTGTGTAATTTTTTTTTTTTACATTATTTTATTCTTTAAAACTCTTTTCCTCCAACAATTGTAACAGTAGTGCACCGTACGAATCCATCAAACGATTTTTGAGTAAACCGAAGATATCACATTTTTTAAACGCCTTTTTACGGAACACAAAATTTGCACAGCCGCGCCGCTTTTGATCGCAATTTTTTAATTTTTAGCATATCCCCTTTGTAAAGATGTCTGTGCTTTATGTTCCCAATTCCGCGGCTGTTTACAGGTCGTTCGTGTCTGTGCCCGTGGTTGCAACATCGAAGATTTACACAGTTCAGACCCCACCCACAGCAACAATTGTTACTACACCGACATCAGTTGTGTCTGTCCCGGCCGTTGTACCCATATCAGGAGTTGTATCTGTACCGGCCGTTGTGCCTGTATCAACAGTTGTGTCCACGCCGGCACTACAAGTCTACAGCTCAAAGACAGTTTTTGCTAACCCGATGGCCGTTTCTACCATTATTATATGAAGTTCAAGGAATCACAAATGACGGCACGAGTACAATATAACGGTTTTTACAAAGAACAGAACCAAAAATTGTCTCGAATCGTGTCGAGCAAGGCGGATAAGAAAATTTTAAATGGATCAGGTAGGACGCTCTTAAAAAGAATACACTTAACAGGAATATGAAATATTAAGACAAATTTAATGCACATACATTAACAAGCATAAATACATTCTTATGAGACATGCACATATGTGGTGGCTTATTAAATTTACAACCGTTTCGCCAAAAGTACATTTGTAGCACTTCAAAATTTGCGTTATATCTTACACACTACTCTTTAAATTAGAATTTTATTTTTTCCCCATTTTTTAATGATTCACACAAGTGTTCCCCATTGTATCGTTTTGCAAAGTGAGCACTGTTGCATGAATTATGAAACTTCTTTTTTTAATAAATGCCACTTTTTAAACATAACAAATGGGAAAAGTTTTTACTTGAGCAAAAAAAAAAAAATAATAAATAAATTAATTAAAAATAAATACGCTGAGCTGAAGCGAAATTAACCTAAACGGATTGAAAACAAATGGGGGGATGCTATAAACACGTTTGTACGTACATACGCACATATGACTGAGCTCCCCCTTTTGCAGATTTCTGCCAACTTGAAACAAGAATGCTTTCCACTAAAAATGGGCAATATTCTTAGTTAAAAAGGATGTTGCATGGAATTCTGCAGCATTTGAAACACTTATCTAGGCAGCTGAGAGGCGCCAAAGCAAACACTACAATGTTCATAGTCATAGCGCGGTTACAGGTTTTCCAAAACTTGGAAGTGTAAAGAAGAGAACCACTGAATATGGTATTCAAACTTAAGTAGTAAAAAATACATGATCCATACTGTCTGCTCGTATTTTGGTTTTTGCCCACAGTCCGACATGACTATGCATTATTTTTGAAAGCAGCGGTAATGAGTTTTGTTGTAAGACTTACACCCCTTCTTGTGTTCTTTCACTTTTGAGACTTCGCACATACATATTATGCGCAATTAGTGCCTTAATATTTTTAATTCTATTTACAACATCGTCTATTAGATCGGTGAAGACATCGAATTGTTTTATAACAATATTGGAGAGCACTGATTGCTTTACCGAGTCAGGTAAAACTTTTACTTGAAAAGCGTAAATGCAACAATAGCCAAAATTACTTTCTACTTCTGCATGCACAACGTCGTTTGGGGTTATGGGACCTATTCCACCATGAACGACGGATATTTTAACATTATGAATTTTTTGGAGGTTTTCAAATTCGTCCAGAAATATGTCAAACATTCCAACATAGTTGGTTCTGATTATGATGGGTATAACTGGGCAATTTTTTGGGGGTAGTTCCATAGGCTCATCGTTGCTTGATGCTTGGGAATTATTTGCACTGCTTTTTTCTTCATCATAGAGATATGCGTTAATCTCTTCATCAGTTAGTTTTTCTTCTCCCAAGAGTTTTCTCCTTAGAATTTCATTTTTCAAAATCATTTGTTTTTCGTAAAAAATTTGTCTCTCCTTTTCGATTTCCCTTTGCTTCGTTTTGTTTCTCCACGTTTCCATAAGTTCATCATTTCTTTGGAGTACTTTTTTCGCCCACGTCTCTTCGCTTTCTTCGTAGTACCATGGGTCGTTCACCTTCTTCTCATCGGTGTACGGTTCGCTGTGAGAGCCGGCCGCTTCTCCAGAAGATTGACCATTCGTTGCGCTGGAATTCTGGGCGTGTCTGCTATTCCTTCCTCTTACAGGGGGGGATCTGCCGAACACGGGGTGTGTCTGTCCTGTCTCCTCGGGTGCGTCCTCCTTTATTTCCCCTTTTGCGCACTTATACAGTGTAGCACTTTCCGCGTTATAAGGTTTCGTTGAAACATAATTATTTGTTTCGTTCGTGATATCGTTTGCTGCTTCCCCTTGGTCGTGTATCACGGGATTTATATTTGGTGCTCCGCTTGGACTGTTTAGCTGATCCTTCTCTTGGTGACTGCCTCCTCCCCAGTTGGAACTGACCAACGAACCGAGGTGTGCACCCACTTTGGGGCTTTCAAAAAACGAAAAGGTGTTTTCTTCAGGTACTAAAATGCTTTCATTTGAATCACCCTGCGAGAGGATGGATTGTATTTTTTTTTTCTTATCTCTGAATAGGTCCTCATATTTGTTTTCTTCTTCCAATTGTATTATTAGAGATTCATCCTCTTCTTGTTCCTCCTCTTCCTCCTTCTTCCTTTGCGTGTTACTTTTGTGGAATTCCTGCACAGATACATCTTCGAATATGTTTTCCTGTTCTATGCCGAACTCTTCGATGGCTTTTCTTTTATCTGACATTGCGAGTCTATTTTGATAAATATCTTCCGCATGGAATTGATTTTTCTTCATATCATTTTCCCAGGAAACTTTTATTTCTTTTCCACTTACCTGCAGAGTGGCTAGCTTTTCGACCATGAGTCTATACTGACATAACCTAAAAGCATTACTCTGTGGAAGGGTAAAAATTATATCATCTGTTGTTGCGTTTCCATGCTTTTTAATTCCACTGACTAGTACAGCCATCCCTATGGCGGCATAGCTGCAGCTCTCTTTAAAATTACTATTGAATTTATACATTTTTTGAATTTTTCCATATGCAGAACCGCATATAAAATAACTGCCTTCGATGAAAAATCCGTTTCGAACAATGACATGAAGAATTGTGCCCTTGCTGGAGTCTTTGCTTATATCTACCACCATGCCCATGCCCACTGGGTTTTTGTCTATGGCTAGTAGGCAGTCCGATTTTCTAATATACTTTTGCAGTTGGTTCAGATCTGATTTTCTCCTTTCCTTTGCTTTCTCTGCATTGTGCATGCTTGGGTGGGTTTTCTCCTCACGGGGGGTATTATCATGATGCGTGTTACCGACAGGGGCATTATCAGGCAAGTTACCTCCCACGGGGGAGTTCCCAACAGGGAAGGCGGCATCCCCCAGCATGGCCTCACAATTGTTGTAGAAGCTATGCACACTGTGATAGGGCAAGTCAATATAATGAGAAATAAAAAACAGCCTGTTGAATAGCTTGTCCAAATTGTAACCCGTCAGTGAGGATATAGCAATCGCATTTTCAATTTCTTTCGAAAAATTATGCTTTAAATTTCCCTCATCATACATATTTGTGCATTGTTTTCTTAACTCTGCTTTTACTATAGACTCATTTTGTCCATACACATCTGCTTTGTTTAGAACAAAGATAACTGGGATGGAATATTTGTCTGCGTATTTAATTGCTTCCTCTGTTTGTATTTCTGCTCCTACTTCTAAAGAAATTAATATGATTAATATATCTGAGAGGAAAGCTGCTCTTCCTCTGAAGATTTGAAAAACCTTATGTCCTGGGGTGTCCACAAAGGTAAACTTAAAAGGTCCATGTTCGAAATGTATAGGTTTTATATTTTGTGTAATACATCCCGCTTCACTTAAGGCTAAGTTATTGTTTGTCATTTTGTCCAGCATGGTGGTTTTCCCATGGTTGATGTGGCCTATCACGGACACGACAGTGTAGTAGTTTTTCTTCTTATGTTCCAGTGGGGTTCTTTGCCCGTTGGGCGGTAAACTCGGGGGGTCATAGCTGCTCCCATTGCGAGGTCCATTGGGGGTGGCCCGCACAGGGGGAGAGGTCGCAACGGGCGCAAGCTTTGCATCGTTTGTGGACGCTCTTTGAAGCCTCAAAACATTTGCATGGTACTCCTCCGCCAAGTAGACCTTCCTGTACACATCCTGCAGCGTCCCACTCCTTTTCTCTTCCTCTTCGCAAAATAATTCCACTTGGATCAGTCTAGGTTTAAATTTGAATATTTTACTCACATAAGCAGCAGTACTGTAGGGGATTATTACGTTCCTTTTGTTTACACTTTGGAAGGTCCTATCTTCGGAGTCCTTCCACTTGTACATATTTCCACTCTTGTACACATTTGCCGCTTTGAAACAGGTGTCGTAATCTATGTTGAGCATTAACCTAAGTTCGTGTATGGATATGTACGGCGGCAGCAAAATGATGGGAGATTTTTGTTTCCTCCCACTTATCAGTTTTTCCCTGAATACTCTCCGCCCCACAGGGATGAATTTTCCTTTATATAGGAGCTTATAGCAAAGGGTGATCATTGTTCTAATTTATTTTTTTTTCTAGCTACGCCATTTTGCCAGGGACGGTGTTGAAATGGACGGCCATGAGGCAGAAACGACTCCACTCAGGGGGGGTGCGGAGAAAACGGGAAAATAAAATTTACAAATGAATAGAAAAAACATAATGGTTCCGTACTGTCGCAATCCACACAAACGGTTTGCCCCTCACAGCAAAGGGCCCATCTGAACCTCCTCTACTAAGCAACGGTTGCGCCCCTGCATAAGCTGCTCCCCTGTTGTGCATCTTCACACCATGTAGATTTTGTAAAAAATATGAAGATGCAAGGAGTAAAAAAAAAATAACAGGAAACTAAATACATGTTTGTTTTTGCTTCTATCCTTTTCCAATTATGCTGCTCTCATTCCGGTGATCTTGGCCCAATCCTTGTGTGCCCCAATTTTCGTGCACAAATATGTATGAAGAAGTGCGCACCCTCTTGGCGTGTAAACACAATTCCTTGGGCACATTCACACGTGTGCGCGCAATTCTTACGAAAAAAACTACCACTAAGTGACACTATTATTACACTAATTTAATGGCCATAAAAATTGTCATTTTTTTTTTTTTTCAGTCGTATAGTATGCCCCTAACCTGCGGTTGAAATTTTCCCATCTTGAGCAATTCCACCATTTACGCACAAACGGAGGAGCATGGAAGAATCATGTTGATATAGTACTTCGCGTGAACACATTTTCTAAAGTGGGGCAAGTAAGGATCCAAAGAAAAAGAAGAAAAAAAAAAAACAGCCAGAGAAGAAACAGTTGAGATATGTATGTATATAATGGGAAGCATCGTGAAAAAATGGGATCTGGTGAAGCCCAAAATGTTACTGACCCTTAACTGGACTGAAAAATATTTTCACCACCTCATCCTGAGCAATGATTTGAAATATACAAATGTAGAAACTCACCAAAGGTACTACATGTTTAACCAAATGAGAGGGAAGAAGAATCGGAAAAAAAGAGAAAGAACAAACTTAAATGATGAGCAGAAGAAAACAAAATTAAAAGTCCCCCCTGTGAGGTTGGAGGACAGGACAACGGTGTGCGAACTTCCAAATGTTATTAGCAAAAACATTAAGAAGGAAATTATGAAAGTTTGTGTTGGCAAGGAAAGAACGAGAAGACATTTTAAATTCAGAAATAAATATCGAGTAAGCAAATTGTTAGGTCTAACTCACGATCAGGAAAATATAAAAGAGAAGAAAAAAAACCCAAGCACATTTGTAACACCGCTAACAAAATTACAACATGAAGCCACACTACCAAGAACAATGCACCATGACAGATTTAGTTTTCCTCACTCCTTTCAATATTCGGTCATATGGCATGGGTCTTCTATTGTGGACCACGAGGAAAACAACATTTGCTTTTTCAGCTCCCACATTAGGGATTTATCCCTGTCTGCGCGGGAAAGGAAAAAAGTTACGCAAATTTTGGGGGAGGAGCGTGTTGACGCAAAAAACGAAATGATCTTCCTCGAGAGCAACTTCTTCAACACGTACAACCACAACGCAGCGTACTTGGGGGACGTTGTCCAGTTTTTGATGCGCCGGGTGCGCAGTTTGTGATGGGGTGATTGGATGTTGCCGCTGCGCTTACAATGGGCACACGTTCATGATGTTACCTGCTCACTCATGTGTCTATCCCTGTGTGTTCCCCTTTGAAGGGCAGAAAAGGAAATCAATTCACTTCGCCAAGGTTAAAAATGCCAATCGTTTGGACCGGATAAATGCATCCCAGCAGAGGAGTGCAAAGTTAGGATAGCCTGTATTGGATGTACTTGTCCAGGGTTTCACAGGAGTAGCCGAGTTGGTCGAAATTTCGCTTTATGCTCTGAGAAGGAGGAACATAATGTACGCAACGAAATGATGGGAGAAAAATATGCGTGGTGTCCCCATCTGTGACAAGTAAGGAGGCACCGTTCCTCAAAATCTCATTCCAACCTTCAGTTCGTCATCCGTAATTTTGACCGTGGGTATGTGCTTGGCTATTAGCTCGAATATTTTGCTGTGCTTTATTTTGACCCTGAAGGAGAGAGGGGCAGAGCATGATACATACGATTTATATGGACGTACACAGGCATATTATACAACGTGTGCACAGCTATATGCATCAGCCCAGGGATAATATCCTGCCCATTTACATGCAGGACAAACATACGTTTAGGCAACACAAATGTATATGTGTGCTGCCACGTTTGTTGCTATTTCCCTCCACCCTAATATGTTTTTTTTTTTTTTTTTTTTTTTTTTTTTTAACAACATAGTTCATTGTGCGTGCAATGTAGGTGGGTTTTCAACCATGGGATGGACTTACGTCGAATAGGAGGTGATTATCTTGATAAGGATTTTGGGAGGAATGTACATATCGGCAGTAAGTGCCAAATGAATATATACAGAAGCTATTTTAAATAATTCAATGTGCTTATGGCCTACTTTGCTATAGGCTCCAATTATATGTACGTAGGAAATGAAAATTTGTTGAAGCTCTTTTTTACACAGTTGTTGTATTTTGGTCTTTTCGCTCTCGTATAATTTAATTATAGCATCTGCTACTCTGTCCATAAAGGAGGAGTTCACTTTATTAAAGTACGTGAGAGACAAACATAGGACAGACAAATCTTGTACCGAATAGGAACCTATGGTTGGAAGAATTATATCAACACAGCGTTCGTATATTTTACTGTCATTAATTTTTATTTGCTTAAAATGATTAATGATAGAGGAAATTTCTTTGGGTGTTAGATCCTTATGAAATTTGTAAAACTTCTGTTCTATTAATCTCCATATGTACAGGTCATATATTTGGCACCCCTTTATTTTGCAGCTCAGTTTGTACAGGTTACTTGCATTTTTGCAGTTCTCCAAAGATCTGTACAAATCGTACAGGTAGGCATTTTTCGAGTTGATATTTCTGCTGTTGTGTTGTGTATAGCTGATTTGTTTTTTAGAGAGGAGGTAAGGCATCACCCCACCTGTCGTATCGTGTGTCCTACATGAGTGACTAACGCAGTGGAGAATTTTTCCCATGGGGCGTACTGCTCGTGACATTGGTTTGGGGGGGGGGCAAATAAGTTGGCTTTGCGTTTTGCCTGGAAACAACATGGTGATATAACTGACTGGACGCAGCAACCAGAAAAAAACAAAACAGCCAAATTATATTCCCCTTGCTCGTTCCCTTTTTTTTTTTTGGCTATGTTGAGACGTTGCTAGAAAAGGGACCTACAGGCCTGTACGCAAAAATGACCACTCATACGTATGCCCTCGTGCACTTATGTATCCTTATTCATGATGGTCATTTTGCTGAAAAGGATGAATTTAGGGAAAGCTTCTCGCGTTGGCAGTCAAAAGGGGTGAGAATACGCTCAAGCAATCATCATGTAGGGAGGAGCGGATGCAGCATCTTTTCCAAATGGGGAATGTTCTTAAAAAAAGTGACAAACCATGTCAAGTGGAGCAAGAACGGCTGCGCAACGGAGAAAAGCAATTCATAGAGAGGCGAAGGGTTGTGTAGCCCGCCTTGGGACGACCCTCCCCCCTGGTCGTGCTTTAACGAACATTGCTAAGCGGAACACGCGCGCCCACTGGGGAACATTGTGGGATGTTTTATTTATTTATCTGTGTATTTTGCCCTTTCACATTACTTATTTATTGTATTTTTTTTTTTCCTACTTTTGCGCGAATTAAAAAATGCCGACGGAGAGAAGAACAGCTCGGTCTGCGCATGTGCCATTTGTGACATACACAGTTTTCCGTTTTGCGCGTGTAAGAGAACTCATCCCGCCCGAGCAGCCAACAGGAAAATGCACACTCCTGTAATTTTAACCCCCCTAAAAATTTTTTGCTGCAGCGCAAAAAAAAAAAAATTCCCCCATTCGCCGTATGCCCATATGTGTGTATTTCCTTGATATGTGAAAAGGTTTGTTGGCGCGCGCCATATGCTGGCTGGTACAATATAATTGGATGAAGCAAAAATGGCAACTTGATAAAAAAAAGTTATGTCCATATGTACACACACACCCATGACGTATGACTACTGCAAATGTACAAATCTTTATAAGCATGCACTGCTCTGTTATGTACGGATATGCATGTTGATCGCTTGCGCGTCTTGCGCATACAACAGACCTGATCATACAACACGATGGACATCAACCTGTACATCCACAGTGTTGAAGTGGAGCTCGCCAAGAGTGACGGAATTGTGAAGGGGGACGAGCAGGAGGAAGAAAATGTGGTGTACTGCCTGCATATTAAAGTGGAAAATGGCGACACCAGGGGAGATTCAAGGAATCGAGTAAACACTGGGTCAGGTAATTGGTCCGGCAGTTGGGAAAATGTTCAGCCAAGTAGTGACGCAAGTGGCCTTCCCTATGGTACGCAGCGTGGTCTGAAGAACGAAATGCCAAATGGACTGTTTTACGAAACGCCATGGTACATGTGTGTGAAGAAGGGACAAAGCGAAATATGCCTCATGTCTTACGAAGTGAACATTTCACACGCGTTTAACATGTTGGAGAAGCACGTGAGTAAATGTGAAGCGAAAAATGGGGGGATTTTGCACAATGAGGGGGTACGAAAAGGGGATGGTCCGCTTCCCCCCCAGGGGCCAATCGTAAAAGATAATAACTTCGTATCATTATGTATCCCTCCCTTTACCCTTATCTTCCTTTTTTATTATTATTTTTTTTTTCTCACCCATAGGAGGGCCTCACCGTGTACGTGCTGCGGAAAGACCTGAACAAAGACAAAGTCGATTATCTGCACCGAAGTGAACTGAACATGAAGAACAAAAGACTCTACGATAAGAACTATTGTATCCTGTTCGAAAATGATAAATTAAAGGGGAAAATAAAAGTGCATTTAAAAGATGCAATTATATATAATCACACTTTAAGTGAAATAAAAACAGGTAATTATTTGAAAGACGTCCATGTGGAGAAATTTTTACCAAGTGAATTTCCCGCAGAGTCAAGTCAAGCACAAGTGCACGACAGGATTGATCATGTTGCAAAAGAACAAAGCGGATTATCACAAGATAAGAATATAATTAACGAGTTTAATGAATTGCTTAATGCAAGGAGAGTTTTATACTGGGTCTACATAGACGACAACGGGAAGGAACAAGGCCCCTTCAACAGCAACACCATTTTTACATGGATCATAAATGAATATTTTGAGGACGATACGTTAATCAGATTACACGATAAGAGTAAGTACTACAAATTGTGCGAAGTGATTGGCTATATTGAAAAAAACGTGTTACTCAATTCAGGCAGCCATGAATTGCTTGGTGATAACCTGGGGGACCATATTGAGGGAGCCCTTCTCCAGGGAGTGAATACAAAGTGGGAAATTTACAAAGGGAGCCCAACGGAGACACAGAAAAATTTCATCCACGAGGAAGCTACTACTCCAAATGATATGGGCGATTACGGCATAAACAAAAGTGAGATTTATTTTCCCCAAGGGGGGTATGTTGAACAGTACTCGGAGAAGATTTTCCAAAAATTAAGCGACAGGTACAGCAACGAAATGGGTGAACAGAAACCCACTTGTGATGTTCGTAGTAAAAGTGAAGATTTTTCAACGGGGGCAGATAATACCATAATTCATAATAAGGCACATAATAACAAAAATGTAAAAAAAAAAAATCAAGTAAAAATGCTGAAAAAGGAGATTAAAAGGATTAAAGACGAAATGGTTAAGTTGAAGGAAAATGCTTGCACGAGTAGACGCGCCATTTGTGATGATGAGAAGGTGGAAGCACGTCATGAGTTGTCCCATCAGTTTGAGAACGGTAGGACGTCCAATGTAGCGTCCCATATAACGTCCAAAGAGGTGACAAAACAGAACTCCTGCACCACGCAAAAGGCAGCAGAGGTCAGCACAAATAATAATGTAACTCATGAGACGACGTATATTGGGCTTCCCCAAAAAAATGACAAATCACACACACATGAGTGTGAACAGAACGTAGGCAGAAGTACCTCCCAGAATAACGGACAATGTGTAACGACTGGACATGTGAAAGCGTTTGTAAATTACACCAATGATGCTTTATCAAGCGAAGCGGACATGATCGAAAAAATAATTAGTGATATTAATGAAGAGTTTCGAATAAAAGAAAATTACCAAAAGCAGAGGTGCGTGGAAATTGCCATGAGCAGTATAAGTCAAGCTCAGGAGTGCCTTCTCAACATAAAGAAGAAGCGAATGACTTCTTACCTCAACAGAATAATCAACTTATCAATTCATGATGAGGCAATATATATTGGGGAGGACAATCGCGACATGGTTTCTATGGAGCGGAGACACTTGAAGAAGACAACGCTGAATAATGGCCCCTGTGGAGGTCTACGCAGCGTTGCTTATAATGGCTCTTGTGAAATATGCCCATCGTGTGCTACTCCAAAGAAGACAATTTTGAACAGGAGTGCGTTAGGAAGTATCGACCATGTGACGCACACAAAGGGTTATCACCACGCAAGGGGGATGTTGTCAAATGGGGACTTGGAAAGCGCGCCGAGGAAGCAGAAAAAGGTGGGATATTCATTAGTAATAAATGGGGGGTCGCTGAAAAGTGTTGAGAAGGCAAAATTGGTTAATGGGGAAGCGAGGTCGCAGGGAAGGATATGCGAGGAAGTTTCCAAGGAACGGGAAACCACCCTATCCCTTAACCGCCAGAAAAACTCAGAAGTTGTGTACAATTACTACACAAGTTACGATCAATTTTTAAAGTGCGTAATTTTGATACAGCGCAGTGTAAGGATGTGGCTAGCCAGAAGGGAAAAAAGGCGTAGCTCGGGGTGGAGAAAAAACCAATACGATGTCCACAACTCTGAAGAATTAAACCACTGGTGTTCTTGTAGGTGTAGAGATTTAGGGGGGAACCATAGGAAGAAAGAGACAGACCCAGGAGAAGATCCATCTCGAATAAAAAAAGAAACGTACAAGCCAGACATAACAAATCGTATGTTCGAAAATGTGCATTTTGTGAAAAATGAAAAGAAGGAAATAAATGAATTGTATGTTACTTTTTTAGAGAAAGAAATGGGAAACAAAATGGAAGGAAGGAAATCACCAAAATTTTCATCCCTGGTACAGAGTGTTCAAGGGGGGAGAGATGACATGCCTGTGAGGTCTTGTCCAAATGGGGACTACCTTTCTAATAAGAAAAAGCAGATGAACAATTATGGGGAAGTTGAAATGAGGACGGGGTGCGACGAGAGGCGACTGCTTCACAGGGATGACAGGCTTCATGAAGACATATTTGAAAGTGGAGGTAAGTCGCTCAGAAGGGAAGACAACGAAATGGTTAAACAAACGTATGGCGTCAAAAGTGACGATGTACTTTTTGAGCGGGAGCAGGTGAAATCATGTAAGGGAAACGCGCATGAGCTTTTGTGTAACCTGTTAAGTAAATACAAAAGTGCGAGCGAGGAAAACGGGACGAACGAAAAATTGAGCAACGTGCACCCAAACGAACAATTTACACATAACCTAAAAAAGTATAATAGCTTTCTCAAGTCGATAGAAAAAAAAGACATCTCTGGAAGGAGGGGCACATTACTATCAGTTGTTAACAACTTGAAATTTGATAACATATTGGGTGAAAAGAAAAAAAATTGCCAACTGCAAAAGGGCTTAAAGAACAGTTCCGCCGTGCCCAGGGCATGTTCCTTTCTGAGTTATAGAGAACCCCCTGCCCATAACTGCACTTACAGTGGTAAAGGACACAGTGGAGTGGACAACGGTATCACCAAGGGGGGAAGTGACATGGGAAGAAGTGGCAACAAACGGGCAACAATTAAATTTCTCCAAAAGGGCAATTTTTTGTGTAAAAATTTTCCTGAAAAGGAAGGAAAGGTAATGGACTATGCCGTGGGCAATAATAATGTGAGCCGTTTTTTACTGAACAAAGTTGGCAATCAAAATTTGAAAAACAACGTAACGGATAATTTTTATGATGGATGTTATTCACATCGTTATGTAGGAGATCGTCAGCGTGTCTTCATTACGAAGAGATGAGAAAGGGGTTTCTTTTAAGTTGGGATAGCTGTCCACACGCAGGAGCATGTGTGCACATGTTGTTGTGTACTTTTTTTTTTTTTTTTTTTTTTTTTTTTTTTCTTGTTTTTGTGGGCGTCTGATCAGTACACTGGGCATGCGTGCAGATGAGCAGCTTTCCCTTTTGTGTTTGATAAAATGTGAATGTTTTAGTTTTTACGTACACTAAAAATTTATGTGTATATGTATTCGAAAATTTTCAATTTTTTTTTTTTTTTTTTTTTTGTATCATCATTCATGTATATAAGTGTTAATACTCCTTTTTTAGTGGCATCGTGTAACCTTGCGACTGCGCAAATGTATATACCCCTTGCGCGTAAACGTTATGTTATGCTATCCTTTTGTTAAATCTACAGACTTAAGCCTCCTTCAGAATTATGCTTCTTTAATGGGTGCCTTTTTGAAACCGCCGAGTTGGCAAAATGTAACAGAAAAACGGCAAAGCCTTTTTTGCGTCGCTTTGTGAACGTTTGTATATCTGCACAGGTAGACCTCTCCCCATATGCGCATTTGCTGTCTTGCCCGTTAAGGGGTGACTCATGATAAGGCAGCTTTACATTTTGATGAAAAAAAAAAAAAAAAAGTTTTATGATAGCACCAACGATGCTACGTTGTTCAACGGCCTCTCACATTCCTCTTCCTGGTCATCTCAGAATATGGTTATCGCTGTGCGGGGGAAAAAATGCAGCTGGTGCTCAGCTTGTTAGGAGGCTTAATTTGGTGCGGGAGTAGCGGGGGAAAAGCTGCGCATGAAGCATGGGCACACAGTCACACAAGAGCATACACCGAACTAAATATAAGGCGTTGCCTCCTTCTGCTTCTTCGACACGTCCTTCAAAAGGTTCGAGTTGATCGTTCCTGGCCCCAACTCGTAACCAGTCTCGTATCCATGTGTTAGCACATTCTCTAGACAGGCATTTATTTTAATGGGGCTGGTCAACTGCAGAAGTAGGAGCTCTTTGATTATTTGTGGGTCATCATAAGTACAGCCATCGACATTTGAAATGACTGGAACTTTTAGTTTTCTGAATGTAATATGTTTTAAAGCATTTTCTAAAGCCTTTCTAGCTGGGAACATATAGGACGAATGGAATCCCCCTGAAATTTGTAACTCTTTAGTAAAAATAGCTTTATATTTTTCCTTTGCTAATTTGTTCAGATATTGCATACTTTCTGGTTCTCCGCATAAACCGAATTTTTTTGGAGTCATATAACTGACAATAAAAATATCGTCATCCATTTTTTCATTCACATCTTTAATCAGGTTATGAATACGATCTAGGGTTAGCCCCACAATTGCAATGGTGGTCTTTTTGTATAATTTGGCACAATTCTGCATTGCCTTTCCTCTTTCCTTTGTTAAAAATACACCTTCCTCAAAGGGCAAAGCTTCTGAACATGTTAAGGCAGAATATTCACCTAATGAATATCCCATACATAAATTTAGCTTCATAACTGCGTCTTGATTTTCTTGTTTCAATTTTTCCAAGGCAGCAATGGAAACAGTATAAATGGATGGTTGTGAGATTTCTGAATCTTTTAATTTTTCTATTGGGCCATTTTTAATGACATCCATTAAAGTGTAGCCCAGAATTCTACTTGCACGGTCATACAGTTCTTTTGCATTTTTACACGTGTTGTATGTGTCTATGCCCATTGACATGTACTGCTCTCCTTGTCCTGGAAAAAAAAAAGTGTATTGAGAGCTGTATGTTGCTATTCTATATTTTTCGAATTCTTTTAATTTCTTTTTTATGTAATTATCATTTTCAGATGATGTCATAATTTGTTCATTTATTTCATCCCTCGAATTTGGTTCATTGAATAACCTCCTTCTGTTCTTTTTGTTTACTCCTCTGTGTAGCAGCCCACTCACTGCTCTTTCCCTTGCCTTCAAAATGAAACATTTGCATTCTTCCGAGTTCCAAAGAATGGTTTTTATCACTATTATGCTTATGGTTAGCAGTGCGCTGGACGTTACCATGTGCATTCTTCTTTTCTGCGTGTGTGCATGCGTGTCTGTGTGGCTGTCTATGTGATCGTGATGGCCCTCCGCTACTCGTGCATGTGCATGTACTGCTGATGCTCGTGTGTCCGTTTAATCTTGTTCTATTGTACGGTTCAACAAAAATATGTATATACCTATATGTATACCTAAATATACACTGTAGAAGGGAAAAATTCCAAATTTGCCTGCTCCACGAGATCGCGCGCAGAATTCACGTTGTCGGGGCGGTTGTTCAACTGTGCACAATTACCTCAAGGGAACATAAACGTACCAAGGGCATTTTACCCGTTGGGTTACCTATCCTCCTCTTTTTTGTTCTACTTCCTTGTTCTACCTTTTTCACCTTCATGTGCCCTTTATATACACACTTCTCTGTACTCTTTTCAAAAGTTACATGCCGACAGGAGTGTCCTTACTTGCTCTGTATACACGTGCAAACACACGCCTGGTCTCTTTATGTGCTGCTGCTATTTTTGCGTTTCATTACGGCGTGCTCTTTTGTTCATTCTTGAGTGGTGGCAGATTTAAAAGCTAAAATAGGAGAAAAGGCTAAACCACAAGATGGTGTACCACAACCGTTAAAAAGAAAAGAAAAATTAAATATTATCAAGTTACATCACTGCCGCATTTAGTATACACTTTTGTGTAAAAAACAAATAAAAAAAAAAAAATGCATGCACGACATTTCTTCGTCTCACTAGAAGAAAAAAAACAATCAGGAAAAATCTTATAAAATGGGAACTAGTAGATCTGTTGGTGGGTGAGAGTAACAGTTGCTATGCATTTTTCGAACATGAAATGCAGTCGCGGGAGTCCCTTCACTCATTTATTTGATCACTCATTTTTGTACTTATTTGTTTTATCGTTTACTTCCCTTTCCTGCCACTTTTAGTAGATTAAAGCGTGCAGGCATTTGTATCACGGGGAGCAGCAAAAAAAAAAAAAAAACGCATTCATCGAAAGGCGAACTGATGGAATGTATGCCATTCATGCGCACTTATAATGAGCCCCCCACCATCCCCCTCTTTCCTTTACTAAATGAGTATTCCCGTTCGAGGGATATGCCTCTTTATACGCATTTCCACAGAATACCAGCGTCTTATCGAGCGCAACTATGTGAAGCGAATTTTTTGCACGTTTTAATCATACATGTTAAAAAAAAAAAAAATCAATAATGTTTATGTTTTAAAAACGGTAAGTGAAAGTGCAATTTTTATTGTAGCCCCCTTTTTACAGAATAATTCTGAATAATACAATTTTTTTTTTTTTTTTTAAGACCATTTGCATGTGTTAAACAAATGGTTAAGTGGCTTACAACTCGCGTGTTCCTCCTCAATTCTCATGCCCCAAACTGTGCGCCCTCATATGTGTGTATAATTTCGCCTTGATATGTTTTGTCCTAAGGGGGAAAAAAACAACAATGGGAAATATGTTGCACCGCGGGATTGGCTATTTCAAGGTTGTAACTACATTTAAAAAAAGAAAAATAGAGCTAATAAATAAACCTAGAGAAATGGTTATATCGCGTAGTGTGCTAGTTACACCCCTGTGTTGTTTCTAACCCCTCTTCGTACTGTTTCCTTTATTGCAACCATTAGACACTTATTGAGAAGCAATGAGTCACATATCTACACCTACTACCTCTCATGAGAACGGTCTGATCATTTATTGCGTGTGGTACACATTTGGATTCATTAAAGAGGGAGCCACACCCGTGTGTGTGTCTTGTAGGACGAACCTCTCACCGAGGTTAAGAAAACCAAATTTGGTAGGAGAAAAATTAAAATTGCAAGAAAAAATTTAAACTCACATACGTATAATATATACATACAGTAAGTGCATACATAACACATACGAACTGGAGTAATATGTTTGTATTCCATGTGGAGTAGTATGTATGTTGTGAGCACCTATATTATAGAATGAACAAATAAAAAAAAAAAAATAAAAACGGGAAAAAAATGGAAGACACATCGTTTAAAAAAAAGAAAATTATGCAAAATAAAATGTTACAATAATGTTGCAAAACTTTTTTAAAAAAATCAGGGTATGAACAAAGCTAAAATTGTCATACTTTTCTAAAAAAAAAGCAAGAAAAAAAAAAAAAAAAAAAAAAAAAAAAAGT